AAAATCCAAAGTGACCCGCTGCTTAGTGTCATGACTTGGAGTCTGAGGCCATCTGAGAGGTAAAACTTAGAACCTTTCCAAGCTAGTCCTCCCCTTAAGGTTAATATAGATTTCTTATCTTTAAACCAGGCATCAGTCTCTAATTTCTCCTTCAATTCATTTAGTGAGCGATCGTCAGGACCAGCAGGGGGTCTGCGTGTCTGCGATCTGGTGGTTATTTGAGAAGCGTATTGCAGCAGAGGAATAATGGAGTTAATTAATTCCTTTCGGTGGATTTTGAACTGGAGCATTCTAGGCAAGGCATCAGCCAAAATGTTTTTACTCCCAGGAAAATATTTTAAACTGAAATTAAAACAGTTGAAGTACTAAGACCACCGAACTTGCTTCGGGAATAATCTTACCCAGTTTCATTCGCATTGCTTTCAAAGTATTTGGTAGTAAGTTTGACTTCGGCTGTCTGCAGTCTAATGACAGGCCATATTACTATGGCCGGTCTTTCCTCTGCCAGTTTGGAGGGCTGCCCCAGATCGAGCAGAAGGAATGCTGCCCTCACGTGATCAAGCGGGGGTCCCCTCCTTGCTCGTCTCCCCTACAGGACGGCTTTCGACCCTTTCCAGGGTTCCCCAGCAGAGTGGAAATGGATGCGGAAGATGGAGCTCACCTTCCGAATGCCTGTGGCGGCCGTGGCAACAAACCGGAAGTCGACCCCCACTTTCCTTTCTTACCGTCCACAGATGAAGAACCATGGGGTGGCAGCAATAAGAACTCCTCTTCAGCGGTTACAGGAGTGCTCCTGCGCTGAGGGGCAGCCTCGGCTTGGAAGAGGTCCACTAGGGCTCTAGCTCCTTCCTGCGGTATCAACTTCCCAGGTTGGATCAACCTGACTTTCGGCCGAGCCCTGCCAGTGATGCCTCAGCCTGCACTCTGACAGCCTGAGTCTCATTGTGGCTAGCAGTGGTTTCAACTTTCTCCTCCATCTCAAGTCTTCGCTGAGTCTTTACCGCTCTCCCAAAAGTAAGTGGGTGGGCAGTTGGGGCCCAGCACCCCAAGAAAATGAAGTTTTAAGAGACTTGGTTTAATGTCATGGTTCCGACAGAGACAAAGCAGAATTGTGAGGCTTGCAAATTCCTCAAAAAACATGTTTATTAGTTGCAAAGTATCAGCACATCAAAGTATCAGCAAACCAAGTCTGGAGACACACATAACAATTCCCCAATACAAAGTTAAAAAATCCCACCCCTAAATTATGCAAGCAATTATGTTCCCCAATACATCTTCTTGGCGGGCTTTTTACACAACGCCCAGCTTGAAATCTCGGGAGCAGCTGATGACCTTGGTTCCCATGGGATAAAAGTTTATTTAGACCAGCAAAGCACCTGGCAACCCCCCCCCTCCATTCTATGTGTAAACTGAAAATGAATATGGAAAATGGCTACAGCCATGCTCATTTGTAGAGTTGACAGCATGATTGTAAAAGGTATTAAGTTGTTATGGATGAACCTCAGAGGTCTTCTGGAATTTGTAAGGATTTTGCTTTCATTGCTAGCTGCAGAAAATAACCTGTGTACCTGGAACTTTTTATGGGATGTAATTCTAAGGTAAAACTATAAATTAAAACAAACTTGGATTTTCAGCATCAAGGGAATTATGTTTAGATACTTTGGTTATGGACCCAAGAAAAATACAGTAGTGTTGCTAAGAAAATAGCATGAATTACCAAGAGCCAAGCTCAGCTTGAAAACTATTTTTTTAAACTTGTCTTCAGAGATTGAATTTTTAGATTTGCAGATTTGTATCTGTATCTAATAAGCTAAAAACAATCACTTGGATTTGTTTATAAATTCATTGATCTATTTTCATCAGACATTCTTCCTGTGTCATAGACTTGATATCTGGTAACTTTCCAGCCAGACAACTTGGGGAAGATTAAGGCAACAAGTTTTGGGAAACTGATATGAATTTTGATAATGCTTTGTTACTATTTTATTCAGCATTATTATCATGTGCTCTTTTCAATTGCTCTTGAATGCAAGAATAAATGAGTTGAACATTGTCAAGTAGCAATCTTTGTATGTGAAGTCTGTAAATATGTACAGGATTCAGTTATATTAATTTTGGGTAGATCTTTTTCTTTTAATGGTATGTTTGTGCCAAGAGACTTTCCAAATTTTAGGAAGGTGCTCACCAAATTCTTCTCAACCTTCACTGAATATGCTTAAACAGTGGATTATCACTTGAATTAAGGCTTGCACTGAGTATCTTAAAAGTAAAGGCTTGTGCATCCAAAGTTTTCTTTCACTAATGGCATAGCTAAGCATTCTTTCAAATTAGTGTTTAATAATGATTAGTAATCATTAATTTGATCTCACCTTGTAAAACTAAGAAAAGATTCTAGCTTTTCTAATTTTGCAAAGCAGTTTGAAAGCCTTTTATTACTCAAATAAGCATTTGAAAATCTGAGCTTATTAATGCCTTGTTATTTCACTATTTTTATGTTTGACTGTATTATTGTTGGTATGTCAATATTTAGTTCCCTGAGCATCAGTAATAAAAATGTGGAAAGTAAATATCACCAAAATATGCTTAAATGACATTAGAATGCAATCTTATGTATATTTACACCAAAATAATTTCCACTACAGTTAGCCAACTTATTTTCAAGATAATATCTTAAAAAACATACATTTAAGAACGTACTTTTTCTAATTCCAAATGATATCATAACTAATCAATCAACTTCAAATCAGTTAGTATAAATTAGTCAGTGGCCCTGTTCCAATATATTGCTAAACAATAATGGACAAAGTGAAATTGGTCTCAAAATAAGTTGGGTTGAGCTGTCATATTCCTCCTCACGTTATCGAAATAAAATGATAAGCTTTTTTGGAGTGCCTTTAAAACAACTATTAATCACTAGTTGTTCCAATCACATTGGAAGTGCCATTAACTTTAATTATGATTTTTATAAAGTTAGGATTATAAACCTTTGTTTCAAATTGTCTGATTCAGATAAATTATAGTAAAATGAAAGTCTCAGAGAACATATATTAATATTTTACGAACTGCAGCATTAAAATATTTCTCTAGGGGTATTTTAAAAAGGTATCTATCTGAGATTGCTTCCAACTCAACTCTAGCCTATTGTGGAGGCAAACTAAAATCATCTTTAGCTGTTCCACTTTTAGTGTTCTCTCCATCTTGTTTCAACACAAATCTTGCAATATGAAATAATTGCAAAGCCTGGTTGACAATATTGATGATGATATGCTCAGGTACCAAGTTTGCCTAGATTTAATTGGTTGCTTAAAACGATTGGGCATGCCCCCTCCCCACTATTCACTGGGTCCTGCCACCCATGGCCTGGCCTCGTAAAGAAGTTAGACATCAGAATGCCACAGATTCATCTCTCCGGCAATTCCTTATATGCATGAACTTAGTGCAGTTTTGGAACAGATGTTTAGTCATTTTTTTTAAAGAATGCTAGATCTAGCTTTTTTTTAAAAAGTAGATGTTATGGTCAGTTTGGAGAAAGAGACAGATTCTGTCAGGTGTTAATTGCTGGTACTGTTGCAGATGAGGTCATTATAGTTTTTCTATACTGTAGTGCAGGGGTATCAAACTGCCGGCCTGTGGGCTGAATGCGTCATGGTGAAACCACACCCACTGCATTGCCAATGGAAAAAAGTCACAATATGTTGCGACACATCACGAGATGTTGCAAGTTTGACATCCCTTCTGTAGTGTTTACTGACAAAGTATCTGCTGAATCAAGAAAACTGGGAGAAATCCATAATATCAAATGCCCTTAAGAAGGTGTTAAGAGTTCTATCTAATCAGTTTCTTATGTTCAGATAAACTATGGTCTATTAATATATAGCAAGTACTTCCAGCCTTCTCTTTTGACAATCTAGGGCAGTGTTTCTCAATTCTTGACAGTTTCAAAATGGATGGACTTCAAGTTCCAGAATTTCCCAGCCATCTATAATGAGAAACACTAATCTAGGGGTATCTAAAAAAAGAAGAACAGGGAAGGCAAGTGACAAAACATGGGTCATAATATCAATGTACAAACTCTACCCCTGAAATACCTGCTTGAAGCTTCACAAGTACAGTATGAAAGTGCAGACTTGCTTTATGATGTCACAAGATATATTTTGTCACTGGCATTACCATGACCAGCTGTAGGCACTTATGCCACGAATACATGTGAGCTCCTGGCTTATTTACCCTTGTTTCTCTAATACTAAACTACAATTTAATATTCTGTTTAAACCAGTGGTTCTTAACCTGTGGGTTGGGACCCCATTTGGGGTCGAACAACCATTTCACGGGGGTCGCCAAACAACGCAGTCTGCCATTTTTTCCCCTTTTCCTTAGCTGTGCTACTCCCTTTTATTCTATTGGCTTTTGAAAGCCAACAAAATAGACTCTCTTGAATAGAGTCTAATTCTATTGGCTTTCAAAAGCCAATAGGAATTGTCCAGGCTGTCTCTGCCCTGCTGAGCCCGCCAAAAGTCCCATTCTGCAAACGGTGCTGCACCAGTTCAGTAGTCCTTGACTTACGACCGGTTGAGTAGTCCTCAATTTACGACCGGTTGGGGGTCGCGGCATTAAAAAGGTTGAGAACCACTGGTCTAAACAGAGCCAATGTACTGTGTTCTTTAACAGGTTTGTTCACTGTCATTATTTTGCCTGTTACATAGAGAAATTGGGATTTTTTTGCTCATGAATAGATGTAAGAAACAGAAAATTTAATATCATTAGTTGTATCAATATTTTATTCAGTTTATTCTATGCATTCTGCCCATGAAAGAGTAGTTGATAGGAAAAATACTTTCTGATTTATTACTTCAGAATTATTAGAATTTTCTTTGCAGCTGTAATAAGTTTAAATAGCTTTGTATTGCCCTCTTGTGGTGTGTAGGGAATGTAAATATTGTTGGACAATTTTTAAATGCAATGCTTTTAATTTTAATCTGAGAATATATTATATTTTACAGCCAGTGATACAAATATCTCATCAAACCTTAGAAATTTTTCTGTAAGCACAACAGGTAAGAAACTTATATACACATTCTTTATCTTTTTTATATTTTCTTCCCTTCAATTGTATTCGCATCTTGGAGATTGCCTGACCAGTGCGTGCAGTTTTCTTAGTAAGGTTTTTCAGAAGTAATTTACCATTGCCTCCTTCCTAGGACTTAGAGAAAGTGACTGGGCCAAGTCACCCAGCTGGCTTTGTGCCCAAGGTGAGACTGTCATAGCTCACAGTCTCCGGTTTCTAAATCTGGTGCCTTAACCACTATACCGTAGTGGCTCTCTTACCTCTTACTTGGTTTTCCTTAAATACAACATTTAATACCTTCAAAGCCAGCAAAGCTTTTCAGAATTATAACTTGTATTGTGTGCAGCCTTCTGAGTTAGGAAGCAGCAGATGTATAGATATTTGCAGATATCAGGCTATTCAATATATTCAGCATTCTGAAGTTCCCAGATGCTTCAATTAGTGCAAAATACATGGCTTGACTGGTAAACAGTGTTTATAACTCCTACTATATGATCCATCTGTGAAAGACAAAGACCACTTGACAAAAGTTGATTTTCCGTTTAAGTTCCTAAATTAAATCATTCCGCTTTAAATAGATGCCTTTACAGTATACTTTTATAACTTCTTCATTCAATCTAAATTTGTTTAAACATGATCTGCAGAATAGGGCCTTCTGAAGATGTCCCAGCTGTCAGATAATCATATGCTGGAGGGGGGCTTTATTTTCAGTGGTTCACAGTATGGAATGTATTTCCTCTGGAGTTGCAATTGAATCCTCCTCTGGATTTTAAAAAGCAGCCATTAAACATCTTTTACCAGACATTTAGGGTTACAGATAGTTCTCAACTTACAATTGGTCATCATCAATCATTCAAAATTATAATGGATCCCCACCAACAAAAGATACTTATGTCCCAGTTCTGAAGTTCCAATGGCCAGACCAGCTTACTGATCACATGACTGCATTTTGGGTGCTCAGCAACCACTCTGCATCATTTAGGTCATTTAATAATTATGGTGATTCACTTATTGACCACTGCAAAAAAGGTTGTAAAATTGGATTGTCACTGATTTTACAAGTGTCACAACATTACCATAATGCACAGTCTCCATTATGAGGACTACATGTGCAGTCTAGGTTGCTGAATGCTACTATTAGCCACAGTAAGTATTTGAATAGAAAGGGAAGATACCAATTGAAATTAAAGAATCAAGAAAAATAAAAACAGGATTTGAATCTCTCATTGAATTTATTCATCTATTTTTAATCTTTAGAATTTTTCTCTCAAAATAATAATAATAATAATAATGTGGTTGTGGGGTTGTGTACTCTGAGGAAGATGAGAGCTATGCCAGAGGTTCAACCATACTGGACAGGTCTCATCAGAGGAGTCAGACAAAGAGTGTCTCTCCCATAAAAAATATGGTGAGACGTAAATTTCAGAATGCCATACTGGCTCGGATGTCGCCCAGGTTAACAAGGTCCGTGCTAGATATTGGAGTTCCTGGATATCTGGTGAAAAATGGGACTCAGGACTGTTGGCTGAGCAACCAGGGCCAGCAGCTGCAGAACTACTGGAAAAAAAGGTGTCTACCCATCGCAGAAACACAGTGATTGAAAACAAAGAAATAATGATCTGTTACTACAGATCAAGTCCAACAAGAAGAGGATATCTAAAACAAATGCACCAGTTCTGGAAAGAACAACATCCAGAATCAGAAATAACAGAACAGAGACTAGCAGATCAACGCCGATTTATAACACGAAATAAAGTATTCACAGAAACAGAATTGGACGAACTGCAAAGGTTTACCCAGGGCAAAGAAATCAAAGCCTTACCAGAAGTAATTCAGAATGTAGAGGCAAACCAGGGGGAGTTGGCAGTGAAGGAATCCAGCAGAGATATACAACTGTTCTCATTTGGAAACCAGGCACCTCTTCTTCAGGAAGAACAAAACCCTCTAACTAAAGAAATAAAAGAATTGAAACAAAGAATAACTGAGCATCTAGAACAGCACAAAAACAACAGAATAAGGCTGCCTGCATTGAAGCTTGTTCCAAAGAAACAGCTAGCACAAGCATTAAAAGATGCAAATACTGCAATATCAAGTATAAGCACCAATTCACTGCAAGAAACAAACCAACTAATGTACAGCACAGCTGCAGTTATAACAGAATACCTGGGATACAAAATCAACAAAGAAGAAAAACAAACGAACAGTGCACCACAAAAATGGAAGGTTAGACTAGAAAATAAGATCAGCAAGTTAAGATCACATGCAAGCAAGCTAGAACAGATGAAAGAAAAGAAGCTGAAGAACAAGAAGACCAAAGAATACCTAATCAAGAAATACCACTTAGAAACAAGGAAGATCAAGGAAGCACTAGAAATAATAAAGCAACAAATAACAGCTATAGCCAGGAAAATCAGTAGATATGAAGCTCAAATTGCAAACTATAGGCATAACCTTCAATTCCAATCCAATCAGAAACGTTTCTACCAATCCATCAATGGAGAAACTGCAATGAATCAATCAGTACCTGACAAGGAAGAAACAGTGCAGTTCTGGAAGCAGATATGGGATAACCCAAAGAAATACAACAAGGATGCGGCTTGGTTAAAAGAGGTGGATGCAAATAAAACAGAAGTTGAAATGAAAAAACTAGTAATAACAACAAAAATGGTAGAAAAAAGAGCAAGAAAATCAAAAATTGGTCAGCACCAGGTGAAGATGAACTGCATGGGTTTTGGTTGAAACATCTAACTGTTATACACCCACTCATTGCCAAGCAGTTCAACAATATACTACAAGGAGGAGAAATTGAAAAGTGGCTAACAACTGGGAAAACCTACCTAATAATGAAAAATCCAGCAAAAGGGGCAACACCAGGTAACTACAGGCCAATTACCTGCTTACCAACAACTTTCAAATTACTAACTGGTGTGGTAGCTGATGCAGTACAACAGCATCTAGTTGAAAACAATCTCTTTCCACCTGAGCAGAAAGGAAACCGCCCCAATAGCAGAGGAACAAAAGATCAACTCCTAATAGACAAAATGATCTTGGAAAACTGCAAGAAAAGGAAGACCAACCTGAATGTGGCATGGATTGACTACAAAAAGGCATTTGACTCTCTGCCACATGACTGGATAATCAAGTGCCTAGAATTAACAGGAGTCAATAGAAACATCAGAAAATTTATGCAAAGATCGATGGCACAATGGAAGACACAGTTGCAGATCAATGGTGAGGGACTGGGAGAGGTTAATATCAAGAGAGGAATATTTCAAGGAGATTCATTGTCACCATTACTATTTGTTATTGCATTGTTTCCACTGTCAACAATACTGAATAACTCAGGACATGGCTATCAAACATCAAAAACATCTACCAGACTATCCCATTTCCTTTACATGGATGATCTGAAGCTATATGGAAAAACATCATCTGAAATAGAATCGCTGCTCAATACTGTCCGTATATATAGCCAAGATATTGTTTTGGAGTTTGGCTTGGACAAATGTGCCACACTTACTATCAAACAAGGAAAAGTAGTGAAAACTGAGGGAATCAAGATGCCCCACGAAAATAACATTAAGAGTCTGGATGAGGAAGATTACTACAAATACTTGGGTATCCTTCAAGCTGACAACATCAAGCACACTGAAGTCAAGAAAAAGATTAGAGGTGAATACATCAAGAGAGTGAAGAAGATCTTAAAATCCAAACTCAATGGAGGAAATACCATAAAGGCAATCAACACCTGGGCAATCCCAGTCATTAGTTACACAGCTGGAATAGTGGACTGGACTCAAGCAGAACTAAAAGCAATGGATAGGAAGACCAGAAAAATAATGACAATGAATCATGCCCTTCATCCACGCAGTGACATTGACAGACTTTATCTACCAAGGCAAATAGGTGGGCGTGGTATGCTACAAGTACATCAGATGGTGGAAGAAGAAAAAATGGCTTTGGAAGAATATCTGAAGAACAATGGTGAAGATGCACCGAAATTATTATATCAGAAGGCTTATTGACTACTGGAGAGACCAAACTGGCCTATAAGAAAGACCAAATGAAGAACAGAATAGAGGCATGGGAAGACAAAGCACTACATGGCCAATACATTAAAAAATAGCTGGGAACAAGATATTAACAAGACCTGGCAATGGCTAAGAGCAGGAAAATTGAAGAAAGAGACCGAGGGACTAATTCTGGCTGCCCAAGACCAAGCCTTAAGGACAAATGCATATAAAGTCAAAATTGAGAAGACAGCAACAGACAGTAAGTGCCGCCTATGCAAAGAAGCTGAAGAAACAGTGGACCACCTGGTAAGCTGTTGCAAGAAGATTGCACAGACTGACTACAAGCAGCAGCATGACAAAGTAGCAACACTGATGCATTGGAAGATCTGCAAAAAATATCATTTGCCTGTAAGCAAAAACTGGTGGGATCATAAAATAGAGAAAGTCATAGAAAATGATAAAATTAAACTGCTCTGGGACTTCAGAATTCAACAGACAAGCACCTGCAACATAACACCCCAGACTTAACAATTGTCGATAAGAAAGACAAAAAAGTCTGGATATTGGACGTGGCAGTGCCTGGAGACAGCAGAATAGAAGAGAAAGAAATGGAGAAGATAACAAAATACAAAGACCTACAAATAGAAATAGAAAGACTGTGGCAAAAGCAAGCAAGGGTAGTACCAATAGTCATAAGCGCCTTGGGTGCAATCCCAAAACAACTGGAGCACCACTTGAACACCATTGGCATTGACAAATTCGCTATTAGTCAATTGCAAAAGGCGGCCTTACTAGGAACTGCTTCCATCCTGCGACGATATCTGTAACACCATCAAACATCCACATCTGCCTATCCCAGGTCCTGGGTAAGGACTCGATAGGTAGACAAAATGCCAAATCCAGTCTGAACATCTGGCTGACTATGCGATAATCCATAATAGTAGTAGTAGTAGTAGTAGTAGTAGTAGTAGTAGTA